TCCCTCCTTCCATCTCTCAATCACTCAATTTTTCTATCAATTTATCTGCAATCATCTGTCTCAAATTGTCTGTTATCTCTTGTCTGACTCTTTGTGGTTAAAGCTGCCAGTATGCCTAGCAAACCGTTGGGTAAAAAAAAAAAAAGTCCAATTACACCAGGCTGAGAACATTTTATAAAAGTGTGTATATATATATATATACACAGCACATGATTCTTTATTATTTATTATATTCCAGAATACTGAACACTGTCTGGTTTTTAGGCAACATTTCGTCCAAATGTGCTTGCGCTTCTGAACAGATGAAGTAGTCTACATGTGTAGGCACACTTTTTTTTCCCTCTTGCTAATCACACATACACACACACACACAAGCAAACAACCTCCCTGCATGAAATAACCTTCCCTGATTTCATTGTTTGTCAAATAGGAAGAAATGAGACAGAGAATTGGTGCTTTTTTCACAAGACATGTTACAACACTGTCACCAAATGGCGAAGTCATATAATTACACCTTCTGTTTTGATCACAGAGTAGAAACACACACACACATACTCCTAGAGAGAGAGAGAAAGCACTGAAAATCTGATTAAAGTCGGCTCGTCTTGGCAGCCCGTGTCTTTATTTATTTATCTCAGTAAACACACACTCACTTTATTCTGGGAATGTGAAGCGAAGCATAATTAGCAGAACATGGCTCCCTAATTGGGCCTTAATTGATATGAAGAGTGTCACCAGGGCTGAGGCCTCACATAGCAATACATGCTGAGCAAGTGGGCGTGTCCTCGCTGCCAATCAATCCCACTGGCACGGCTGATGAGGAGTCATTAAAATGGCCGCCTCCGACCAATTACTAACAGACCAGAGGTATATTTTATTTGTGGACATATGTTTATAGTGCTAGAATGATGCTAATAATACCATGGACATTCAAAATCAGGATACATTTCAATGTGTCATCCCCTGCAATGACTAATTAAGTAACTAGTTTCTGCCAAACCACCACAGTTAGCATTATGCTACGTTCGATTTAAAGGCGGATGTGGGATATTCATTCCTACTTGATATCTCTAAAGCTCGGAAACTGATATAAATACACACAATTATTTGCTTAAAACTGAATTTAATCGCTGAAATCAATTAAATGCAGTACAAAACCAATTTTACCTCTGTAATGTATTGTAATGACTAAGTTATTGTAATGTAAGGATTTAATTTTAGCTATCTGTAGTATGTTCCAATGTAAGCAAGTTTTAAGTGAATTGCACTACAAAGTCTTCTTTGACTTTCCCTGTTTGCGGGGGAACAGGGACCTGCAGGAAAGACAGGTAGTCATGATGCCAGTGATGGCTAATACCACATCACCACACATTATTGTGGGAACTTTGGCTGTAATCTACAGTAACCATACTAAGTTTTTGTAAACCAGAAGTTCATTTGACCATGCATTTGCCCTGTCCAATAGGGACACTTCAGGACAGGCTAAAGTTAGCTGTCTTTTAAGCGGAAAAAAGAGATCCTTGCCTGAGAACAAACAATCTTAAAGGGGTCATATGATGCGTTTTCAATTTTTCCTTTCTCTTTGGAGTGTTCCAAGCTCTTGGTGCATAAAGAAGATCTGTAAAGTTGCAAAGACTAAAGTCTCAAATCCAAAGAGATATTCTTTATAAAAGTTAAGAGTCAGCCACGCCTACCTAAAACGGCTCGTTCTAACACGCCCCAACATACCTACGTCGCTCTGTGGGAAGATTTGCATAACGCCGCCCAAATGTTCACGTAAAGAAAGAAGGCGTAACTTTTATTCTCGCTGTAGTTTTGTTGTTTCCGCTGCCATGTCGTAAAGACGCTGTGTGCTTCGTTGTGAAAGCGAAACTACTTTGTTTGGTCTTCCAAAAGAGGACGATATATGCTTCGTCATGCCTGGAGCTGATCTGTGCTGGTCGATGAGGAAATACTACAACTTTGCGCTGTGGATCGCCGGATCGGCTTTCAC